CGACAAGAAATTTTTTTCTGTTAAAAGAAAACAAGAGACCTGATTAGCAGTTTCAATAATGGCTTCGACAGTTTTTTTATTCTTGCACGGGCCACATTTGGCAACAAGTAAAGCGGTATTGGCACATCGAGTACTGTGTTCGTTCAGATTCCGTGCTTTTTCCTCAAAATTTCGCTCACGGTTGGGCGCTAACGGAGGTGCGTAGACTGCATCTACGAACTGTTTCAGTGGCGTGCTAATATCAGCAAAGTCTTCCACCACTCGATCAGTGAGCACTTTCTTCATGAAATCCGCCAATTCGTGCAATTTATTCCGCAGCTGACTGCGCAAAGCATGTGCCTCTGGTGAATTGCCGAGACCACGACGTTCCAGATCGGCAAGCTGATCAGCAAGACGATCGATTTCAGCGCAAAGATCTAGCATCCTGCTGCGATCTGCAGGTGGCAACAGTTCGCTGAGATTACGCGCCTCCCCGGTCATTGCCTTTACTGCTTGCAGCCCTGAAACAACCATCATATTTGAGCAAAGCTTCTCCGAATGATGTGCGTAAATGTACAACATGGAGCACCCAGCGATGCAACCAGAGGAAGTGAAAGGGTGGGGCGCTTGCTCCTACTGTATGCAAGTGTTAGAGAAAATTTGATTGAAAAACTTAAAAAATGGCCAGACTGTCGCGAAATTCAACTAAAAACATAATACTGCGAAGTTTCCACAAAAAACTGTAAATCCTAATTGAGAAAGCAAACCAGTAATGGCGCACATCAGCCTCGCCGATGCGATCGTACGTTTTTTGCATAGTTATCCCCAAATACGCTTGCTGATAATTAGGGCTACCTTTTCGGCAGGTAATTCCAGACAATCGAATAGGAATACGCATCGAATTCGTATTCGCCATTTCTTTTATTTTTTGTTTTCACTGTTTTAAAATGCCACACAGAAATTATCAGCACCAAATTGCATCGTACGTGAGATGATGAGAATGTGGAAGCTGTTTTCACATACACTTACCCAAACATGGTCGTGAACCATGCACAAGGCACTCCACTTCTTTTAGTTACGGAATTATAAAATTTCCAACGTCCTGTTCCACGTGCCCATACTTGAGATGTAGTGGAACGCAAAAGCTCATTTCCAGTTTACAGGCCTATACGTTAACAGCAAACATCCCGGTAAAATTACCATTTCCTACTCCTGGGCAGGCATAGTGCAAATTTCAATTTTGACGTGCACGTGCGTTAGACCAAAGTGTGCGTGAAGACTGAATTTGAATTCTTTGAGTTGTACATAACCATGGACTATCTTGTAAAGTTCCAAAATCCTAGCTTGTTTAGTTTCTGGAATTGTTTTCCCGCCAAAATATCCTTCATGTAAACATACATGAGAACTAGAGGGAAGCAAACGTTCATTTTCCGCTTAAAGATCCAACTGCTGTGGTAGACTAAATCGCCAAAATTTCAATTTTGTACCCTTCGTATTCTGGAGATCGAAATATGTGGTGAAGATTAATGCGTGCACACGTACACATGCACATGCACACACTCAGGTACACACACGGACAACCCCTTTATAACATGAGCTTTTGCACTGCATAGATGTAAAAAAAGCAATAAAAAATTGGCCAGAAAGGAACGGTTCCCATTAAAATGCACATAAATCTGCTGATAAAAGAAAAAAAAGTCAGGCAAGGCAATACTATTCTAGGCAAGCGAACACGCTTAAGTGACCCATCTTCTATTTTCTTATTGATGCTAATGCTAAAGTTAGCTAAAATATTATAGAACGCTTGCTCCTCTTTCCAACAACAAATTTTTTACTACAGCAAGAGCCAATTTTTATCGAATTATAACAAAAAATACGCGCAACAACTCACCTAGCCCATCGTCATCAATTCCTGGATTGTCGAGCCAACGAAGTGCTTGTTCCAGACGTCCACTGACTGTATGGGCCGGATGCGCACCGCCAGTACGCTGGGTGTTTGTAAGTGCGCCAGGTAAAATGCCACTGACCTCTTTGGTACCAACAAGTTCTCTCAATTTGTTAGCACACCCATTGGCAAGGCCCTGATTGTCGCCGCCCTGACTGCGAAGCTCACAGAGCGAATCAGTCATCGACGAGATGTCACTCACTGTACGCCTAATGAGGCGTGCGTCTTCGGGCAGTGCACGTGTCGCAATTCGTTCCGAATAATCGACGATCCGTCGGATTGCTTTCTCACCAACAGCACCTGGACGACCACGTGGATCGGCAAGCCAGTCCAGCGCAGCGGTCAGCAAACTTTGCGCGGCACTCAGAGCCTTGCGCATAACAGTAACATTATCGCTATCCCATTCATCCTCATCGTAGGTGGTTAACTGAAGCACCCGGATAATCTCATTCATTTCATCCGTCATACGCTGTGCCAAATAGTTGCGATTCTCCGCTGCTTCGTGTTGACCACGCTGTGACTCCTCGGTGATTTGGATAAATATTTTCATTGCGCAGATCATAATTGGTGAAAGCGTCTTCACAGTATCCATACACCTGAGCAGGATTTCCCGATGAACTTGGTGTGTCAGCTCTTTTTCTCGTGAATCGATATCCTGCGAGACTCGGGTCAGCCATGGACTGATATCCTAAAATTTGCACACTTAAAATTAGGAAGTGGTACGGATAAAATACAACAGTGTTAATGACTGGGACTACAGGATATTATGGGCATATGCTGAGATGCATAATGCTACAAAAAGCTTGAAACTGTGCTGAGAGCACCCGACTCGGATATAAAAACCGCTGGAACTGAGATGCAGCCAAGGCTGACAGCGAGCTGTCCAACGCTATTTTTTCCTCATTTACCTACTCAATCTCAGACAAGTTTGCTTTCATTGGTTGCCTTTGAAAACAAAGCGAAACAAAGAGGGAATGAGAGGAGGGAGGACGGAGGGGGGATAGGAATCTTATGAAGTGTCTACGAATGCAACAAAATTTCTGAAGCAAAACAGAAAAAACATACTTTGACGAATTGTGCCAGATCATCCATGCTCTCAATCACCTCAGCGACAGCCAAATAATCAAGAACTTTACGGCAGCCCCGGATAATCTTTCGCACCTCGGATTCATCAAAACACAGCAGTAAAGCAGATGTGCCTTGTAAAATACCCCTGGCTCCTTCAATCAGTTTCTTCCTGGCTACACCGGAATATGGATCCGCTTTGAGCATGTGACAAGCATCCTCCAACAAACGAGAGCTGGCCTCCACACGCTGCAGTGCTGGAGGCATATCTTCTTGCAAAATTCGATCGTCCGATGAATGACAGGTATCATATCCAACCTGAAATGCAAACAATCCGTATTTATTCCTAACACAAAGGGCTAAAATGCTTGCCTGCACTGCTCCTTGCAAGCTGGTCAGGAGGCCATTTCAGCTCCAAAATTTTTATTAGAAATGATTTTGTTCGTCATATTTATGTCGTGGCCCATATCGAAGATGTGGAAATTTTACTAACTTCTAGTCGCAGCAAAATTCGCTTGGCTTTCAAAATTACAAGCCAGTTTTACAATTTTGTTGTCTGCGTTAATAAGGACGCATGACCCCTAACAAATCAGCTTCAAACCCATCAAAAAATAAGGCATAAATCTGTAAATATCTGGCACTCTGGAAAATAACGAATGCCCTACATGTAAAAGCGGAGAATACCTTAATGAGGTTATCGACAGCCCGGGATACCGCACAAACAGGTCGAGTGAGGTCTGGCATTGCATTTCCATCTTCGGCTTCCTCATGTAAGATCACCAATCGTGAAACCTGGAAATACACTTCATGAATAAACAATTGCAAAAGTCCGAAACTAGGTGCTGAAAAAGGAAAAAATTTCTGCAAATAGCTTCACTCATTAAAGCTTCGAATGTAACGTGTTTGTGCGTGTATATGAGAAACAAAAACCGAACACGCAGGCACTTTTCTTAAAG